ACAGCATATACATCGCAAGACACACGAGTGCACGCGTATACAATATTGATGTTATAAACCACCCACCTGTCGGCATACAGTATATAATACACATGCACATCGCACACCTACATGCGCGGAGCCCTGAGCACCCGGAAGGATGCGCGCGCGGTGCCTCGCCACTGAAATACCTTCATATTTACGCGAGTGTAGGAGTTGATTTTCACTCTCCTCGTTATTTTATTTACTGCTCGTGCTCGTGGAGCCGCGCGATTACAATCGCACGTGCACACGTTGTATTGTAGCTTTCATGGAATTTTTTTATTTTCTATATTTTTAAACGTAATCCGCGCGCGCTCGCTTTTACAGCATTACAGCTCGAGCGCGCGCATAATTATATCGCTGCGGCATGCTCGAGCTTCCGATGAATCGAATTCGAAAAAATAGAAAAATACGCGAAATTTAGTTCTGCAGATGTTCGCCCGTGTATATTATAATACGCTTTTGCGTCAAAATAAAATGCAAATTTTTTATTCAAATCCACAGGCATTTTGAATGGGACACAATCGAAAGCTTCGCGTATCTGTGTGCGTGTGCATATAGTTATATACGTATTTTTGTTTAAGGACTCGACTAGAGTTCTTCCCCAAAACGCAGAAAAAAAAGAAAAAAGACTTTCACCGCGCGGCGCATATGATATTTAAGGTATATAATATCCTTGAACTCGTATGTGTATAAAGTTAAAGCGTTAATTTCGAAATTCATGCGCTTCCTGTGCCGTGCCGCAGTAGTGAACGATGATCGTCGTATTTTTCGTTCTATCATACAGATATATAATATGAATTTGCATTACAAAATGACGACGATATCTTTGTGCTCGTTTTTCGAAGGAACACCTTATAAATATATATTATAAATAAAAAAAATATATCGTATATATCCTGGAGCATATATCGACTCGTACGAGATTTTAATCTTTGGTCGCGCGTCGTCGTCAATGCGCATCGCACATCCTTGTTTTCTTCGCGTATTCTTCGCCGTCGTCGCATTATAATTGAGGTCCAAATAATGAGACGCCCGGCGCGTGTCGCAGGTGCTCGCGCGCGCGCCCGCTCGCTCGTGCCTTCATCATACACTGTACGTATAATACGGTAAGCATCACCTGAAAGAAGCTGCTGCTGTGCGTGTCATGCATAATAAAGACCCAATGACGACGTGATTAATGTCCGAGTAAGATATCGGCGCAACTCGAGTTCGCGACCAAAGAACAGATAATCTTCCAAATGCAACCACGTTCCTCCACGACGATTGTTAATAAATAATGGAATCGAAGCAAAATAATAATTCGATAAGCTTTTAATTGGAGATACTTACGCGCCTCGTCGGCTTAATTGCTTATAATTGCTTATACTGTGATTAGCAGTTTTGTTATTAGCAAATTTGGGAGTCTGGAATCAGGCGTACTGCTGCTGCTGCTGCTGCTACTGTTGCGGCTGCTGCTCTCAGGAGATAAAAACAAACGAGCCAAACGATGATGGACAAATGCCATGGATCGATCAAAAATCAAAATAATCCAGAAGCTGTTGACTTTTTTTTAAATATATCAACAAATGAAAAATTAAAAAATCAAATTAAGCTGATAAATTTGAAAAATGCAGTAAATAAAGATTAAAAACTTAATTGCTTGTTTGATTTTACTTCGAACAATTCGTATATTTTTACTTGACTTTTTATAGGTAGGATAATGGTTCTAGTTGGAGAAGATGATGTGTTTAAATAAATAGTTTGTTTTTATAATTCACCAGACAATGTTTATTCAGACGACCTCACAACTCCCAAGCGTACAAAATAACGTGCTTTACTGGGCAATATGCGGGGCTGTTTTCTTTTTTTTTTTTTTGCTTTTTTTCTTATTTTTGTATAATTGCAAGGAGTATATATAATACCTCAGTTTCATATTTTTACTTTGTTTTACGCCTCTCAAATTCTTCGCCAGAAGAAAACAACAATTGTACGTGATTCTTTTTTTTTTAGTCATTTTATAATCTCGAAATTGTTTACAATGTATGCTTATAATTCGTAAATTTATCTCTTAGTTTTTTGTCTGTTTCAATATTTCACATATATAATATATCGTGACATTTTTCTTGTTCATTTAGCATAGTTTGTTTTTAAATCCATTCAATACAGTTCATTTATTCTCCAAGTGTAATTTTTTAATTATGTATAATAATGCGCTTTCATCTGTTGTGAGTTTTATTTATTTTTTTGTTTTATCTTTTATATTTGTAATTTGTTGTCTTCATTCCTTAACGGATAGAGAAATATATCATACTTTATGTATTGTTTACTATAATAATCATTACGTGTAGTTTATGCATAACAGTATACGACGATTTTTATCAACGCTAGTTTCCTGCACAGGCTTGCGGGTTTAACTTGCTTGAAGAAAGGAGAGAGGGCGAAGGAGGGAAACAGAGAATAAAAAAAAAGAAACTCGTATTTTTTGTGATTGGCTACTGTCTTACTGCTTTTTTCTTCTTTTGACTCTATGCATCGTGTTGATATGCGTGTGTTCAATTTGTGTGGGTGTTTTTACTCGTGTTTATGTGGATGTATCAAAGGGAGCTGAGCAAGGGAATGAACATGAAAGTTTAATTTTCGGACGTTTTGCAGAGAAACACAATTTTTCAGTTTTTAAGATACAAAGGATATATTTGGACTTGCTTTTTAAGTTTTGAGTTTACACTATATAATAGGCAAATTCATCATATACTCGTTTTACAATGTTTAGTCACTTTTCAAAAAAATTCCATTCTCGCTCTTTACACAATCATCGTACATTAAAGATCATTCTCAAACCTTTTCTCGAATTACAAAGGGTTGACTTTTCTTTTATTACCTTTTTTTGTTTGTATATATTACTTTTTACTCGCAGAAAATGACTGCAAAGTACAATAAATACATCGAGGAGCAAATACAGTATCGATTCATGTACAGGAGACGATTGTGAAGAATCGCAGGAGATTGATATTTTTCTTGATTTACACATCGTATTGCTACGTGTTTGGCCAAAATGAAAAAAGTCACGAATCGAAAATCAAATGTATACAGATGCGTATTTTTTAGTTCATTCGATTATTACAATGCGTGCTTGGTATAATGAGGTGTAAATGTGCTCGTGCAATGTATTTTTACTTCGTATTTTTCTTTTTATATACTTTTTTTTGTTTGCCACGAATGAGAACAAATGCATCAAGATAAGGTTATAACAATGGATCTTCTGAGGAATGCTTTCATTTTTTTGGTCTCTCAATATTGATTCTATTAATATTATTAAAACAGATATTATTGTTATTTATGCAGATATATATCGAAACGGGAAAGCAAAAAAGGTTATACACAATGAGGTAAAATTACGAAGAGATCAGATGTATAGTTTTTCTTTTTTCCTTTTATTAATGCAATTTAAAAGTTGACAGAATTATTACATTGTTGTTTGTTGTTTTATGCAATTTTTCGCTTGCTCTTGCTTGAGTGTTGATTTTTTGTTATAAATTCTAGCTTCATAGAGACTACTATTCTATATTTACATGTAAACCTCCAAACGCGTGTATACTTTTCTTCTTGGTGAGAAGCAAATATTTCAGCAAGAAAACAATTGAAAACTGCCGCTCTCATTCCACTCTTTCTCTCATACACACTCTCACTCTCTTTCTGTTTTTTCGTTTGTTTCGTATCTCTCAGTTCTTTCTCTGGGTGTACTTTTACAAATACTACTAATGGAACTATGTATTTTTAATTCGTTCAATTTTTTGACTTACAACACAAATCGTAGATTGATTGAATATTTTTTCTGATTAAACAATTTTTATTAACAGATTGAAGCTTAAAGCTGGTACGCGTATACTCGATCTCTGTGAGAGGAATGAAGATTGATTGTGGAGTAATGGAGGCAATGATGGTAAGCAAGGATTTTTCTTTTTGTTTTCAAAAAATTCAAAGTATGAAATTTGTGGACATTTTACGAATTAAAAAAGTATATATGCAAGTGATACTAATAAATATACATTAAAAAAATTTCCTTTCAAGTTAAGAGGGAGAGGGCGTAGGAAAAAAGATAAAAAGAGGGTTTTTTTTGGGAAAGATAAAGTAAAAAGAAAAAAGGGGCCGCCTCGATGGGCCGTTCAGTCTCATTTGACAAAACTCGATTAAACGCGATTTAATCTTAGAACCTTAAAAACTAGCGATTTACGACAGATAAAGCCTAAAGTTTAATTTTTATGTATATATAGGTTTGTATGTATATACGCTCGTTATCATTTCCGAGACCATCGCACTGCATCAGATTCATTCGCAAAACAGACGCAAACCCTTTGGGTTCATATAATATATTTATCAATTTAACCGTTTATATATAATATTAATATATATCACACGCATTCGATTCACGTAAATATTTTTGTTTTATCTACGCTTTCACAATATATTTCGCGGGCTCTCTCACGGGAGTCACGGAACAGTCATTTATTTGTCACGATAATGTTTATATACGTTCATATATATTACCGAATACATATATATTTTTATGTATGTACCAATTAACTATCATATACTTCGCTCGCATACGATTGTTTGTCTGCCCGTTTTTTTCTTCTTCTCTTCGATTATATACATACGGAGCCATTCACACAGATTCACAACATTTCGAAGCCATGCGGCATACGCCTTCTTTTTTTATATTTGTTCGCTCAACATAAGATACGCGTATGCGGCAAGGGGACATACGTTAAGAACATCACTTGTTGCTATTTATCTGTAAATTTTTATACGTATATACATACATATAAATATATATATGCATATATATAACTGTTTATGATTATACACTGTTCTGTTGTATCCTTACGAGATTTACAGCTAAAAAGTAATTTTATATCTATATATTCATATTTACTGAAATATAAATATATATGTTGTATGTATATGTATGTACACACTTACGTATGTGAATATGTATTTATAATTTATATATAATAGATGTATATATAAATATTTATACGAATAACTTGCAATTAAAATTCAATTAATTAATAGTAAAGTTTGATGATCGATGAATGATTTGTAGACTGTACAGGATGCGCAATTTCCATGATTATCACATATAATAAAATTTTATATCTTAAACATATTTTTAAATCAATATGTTATCTCGTTTGTAAACTCATAATTCGAATTTTTCATCTTCTCAATCTTCTTCTCCTTCGTACGGGTGCTTCTCTCACTCTAGTTAATTTTCGCAACGTTAGCGGTACTCACTCGTAAGATATATATTGGATGATAACACATGCACATATATATATTTACGTAAGATTGTAGCAACAGTAGTGGTTGTTTGTTTGATTTGTTTTTTTTTTTTGTTTTTTTGTTTTTTAATATTTTGCCTACTTAAAGCAACTTACTCTGGGAACGATGATAGTGGACAACGCAGTCATTTTTCCGAGTCCAGCAAAGCATCAAGGGGTTTCAATCTTTTGTTTTACCCACTCCGTTAATAATCAAACGACCACACTACTGGCTATTCTAGCACGAATGAATATCTTCGAAAACGTCGATAAATTTTTTTGGTTTTTGCTAGTCGAGAGAAATTAGCGTCTTGCGATACGCGTATGCTCGAACGGAGGGAGATAGCACAGGACACATTCGGCTGTTGGGGGGGCCTTGAGTTCGTGTCCGGACATGATGGCGAGCGAGCCTTTGTTGTCCGCGCGCAAAAGTTTAAGTAACGACGATTGCCAAGTCGATGCTGTTTTGCCTCGTCACCTTCCGGGCGGCCAAGCTCGGTCAAGGGGGGTCTTCTGTCGGCCTCACTCGCTACTACTTCTACTCGATCGCACACTGCTTCTCAGTAGCCACAGCAACAGTCACCGTTCGAGTCGCACTCGTGCTGTCTTTGTCGATGATTATGATCACTAGTCCGTCTCTGGATCAACGAGGCAGCGGGCTACGCCTCGAGCTTGAGCTCGAGCTTGGCGGCCATGAGGCTGCTCGGCCTCGGCGACGGGGACGGCGACTTTTTCGACAGGTTCAGGGGCTGCTGACTGTCCGCGATGTCGACCTGGAGCTCGACCATGTTGTTGTTGGTCGCGGGACAGCTCGACACGGCGATGCCGTGCGCGCTGCCGCTCGAGGCCGGCCTCGGACTCGTGCTCGTGCTGCTCGTCGCCGCGGCCGTGAGATAAGCCGGCGACGCACCACCTACCGGCGTGACGAAGGTGTCGGGCGACTGCTGCCTCGGCGCCAGCGTCGTCGTCGTCGTGATGACGCTCGTGGCCGCCGTGGGCCAGCCGGACCTCTGTTGCTGCTGTGGACTGAAGCACCTCGGCGACGAGAGGTGGGCCGGCGACGAGCGGGCGCTGCTCGAATTTCCGCCCGTCGTCGTCGACGCGCACTGCTCCATGGGCGAGGGCGAGCACACTACCGACGGTGACGATCTCGGGGACATCGTGCTCGCCGCCTCGCCGCGCATTATGAAATTCGTGATCATTTCGGAGTGCTTCATCTGCTCGACGGTCATGCGCGGGCCCTCCATGAGGCTCTTGGCTAGCGTCGAGTGCCTCGTGCTGAGCAAACTGCTACTGCTAGACGTTTGAGACGGACACTGACCGAGTAAAGCTGACTGTAGGGCTGTGGGGGCACTGTTATTTCTGCTGCTTTGCATTTGCGTGGGCGGACTTCTGGCCGGTGGCGACGTCAGGTGCATGTGCAACTGGCTCTGCGTCGACTGCTGTTGCTGCTGCTGCTGCTGATGATGATGACTGTGTGCCGGACTGCTCGACGCGCTCGTCGCCACCACGGCGGGCTCGGCCTCGGCGCTGTCCTTCTGGCGCAGCGCGCGGAACTTTTTGTGTGGTTTGTAAGCCTCGTCCATGAGGGAGTTGGTGTCGTAGAGCGGCGGCGCCTGGAGCACTCGCTTCAGCACCGGCATGTCCTCGACTTCCTTGTCCTCGGATCTGGGACTCGAGCAGACGCTGGTGGGCGCCGAGTTCGTGCTGCTGGTCGACGCTGGCTTGTTGTCCGTCTTCTCCGTGCCGGACTCGATGCCGCTGTCGCTGGGCGAGTCGAGCTTGCGGAAGCGCTGGCACTGCGAGCTGGCCGTCGTGCTGCTGCTCTGTAGGTGTGGATGCTGCTGCTGGAGCTGCTGTGGATGCTGATTATGCTGCTGTTGCTGCTGCAGATGCGGCTGTGGGGTCTTGACGAGACTGAGGCCTCCTCTGTGTAGCTCGTCCTCGCCCGAGCTCGTGCTGCCCGAATTGGCGCGTCTTCTGTGCGGGCACAGGCCACCGGCGAGCGTCGCGGCCAGAAGCGGTGCGTTCGTCGCGTGATGGCCCTGGGTGATCTGACTGTGATAATCCGTGAGCGAAGCCACCTCCACGCTGCAGGTGCTCTCTGTGGAGGACACGCTGCCGAGAGGACTCTTGACGGCCTCGTCGAGCGTCACGTCGGAACTCCACGATGGCACTGGCTGATCCTCTTCCATAGGCCAAATCTGTTGTTGCATGTGATGCTGTTGCTGCTGCTGCTGTTGCTGCTGTACTTGTTGCTGCGCGGCTTGCAGAGCTTGCTGCTGGGCTTGCATCTGTGCTTGCTGCTCGGTCATCTTGAAGGCCAGCAATTTTTCGGAGTGCAGGGTGTTGAGGGTTTTGAGATCTGGTATTTTCTTGAGCAGCTCGTGCAGGATTTCGGGCTGTTGGGGATGATTCTGTGCGAGGAGTCCCTGCAGCACGCAGCGAAGCTTGTGATTCATTTTCTCGATGAACTCGACGTTGCGCAGTCCGGGTCTGTCGGCGGCGATGACGACGATCGCGCAGAACAGCGCGATCTCGTTGTCGGCCAGATTCAGGAGATTGATGCGCTCGGCAAAGTCGAACATCGAGTCCATGAGGAAACGGGCGTTGGGACTGTTGTGTATGGACTCGCGCTTGAGCACCTGGCCGTTGAGGCAGATCATGCTGTTGGTCTCGCGGTCGAACATGCAGGCAAGTCGCACGAGCAGCACCTCGAACACGCCAGCCTTGAGGAGGGTCACCTGGTCGTCTTGGGCGAGATGGCCGAAGCCGGGTATGCGCTTGGCGAACTCGACGACGCCGCGGATAGCCGGCGAGAACCTCTTCGAGAAGTCTTGCAGAAGCTCTTGCTGGCCGGCCGGTGGCACTATGTTTGGATTGAGCGGGCATGCCTGCAACACGACAAAGCAAAGAGTGCACATAGGCTTCGTTAGCTTTTTTCACGTTGCGTGTGGTAGTGAAAAATCGTGTTATTGTGTATTGTATTTCTTTTTTGTGTCAACTCCATCGTGTCATCGTTACTAAGCAGAAAATTATGACAACTTACCAGTGTCGCTGGAATGGCCGTGTAGCTCGGGGCCTCTCTGGCTTTGGCGACGATCGGGCCAACCTTGTCACGCGTAAAGTCGCACGTGTCCATGTGTGCCTTGACGACTGTGTTGAGGAGGCGCGACTCGTCCTCGAGCTCGGCGCTGACCAGCTTGTCCTGCTGGCGGCTGTGTGAGCTCTGTTGCATGGCGGCGAGAATTCGGGCCTTTTCGCGTTTGGGCACTCGGCCGAATCGTACCGCTGTAAACATGAAGCAAAAACGAGATTTCGCTTGTTAGTTACGAGTGCAATGAGATTCCAGTTTTTTTTTATAATTAAAAATATCGATTATTGTTGGTAACGATCGAATCTTATGTGTCGGGCCAAGTTGAGGAAATACAAGCTCGTAATTCGTACGGAATGATATGTCAGAGAGCTTGCAGCGTACAATATCATGGTCGTTAAAGCTCGTATAGCTTTACCGGTCGCTCAACGTAGAAAAGAAATAAAAATGAAATAATTTTTAATTTCGCACTATGTGCAATCGTACGAATGCACATAGTACTGGTCGTGCAGCGGCAGTAGTACGGTGCGTCGAGAAAAGCGAAAGTGGAACACAAGAGCGCGATCGCTCGTTCGCGGTGAAAGTTCTCTCTCGCGCGCGGCGCTCGCGCTTACTCTACGGTGAAAGTGTGTCTGTGTTCCATATAGCGCTGCTATGTCGCGCGTGCCGCGAAAAAAAAAAACAAGACGCGAGCAGCGGTGGTTCGCGTGCTCCGATTTCGACGACGATAGCCGGGATTACTCAAAATTTTTATTCAATAATAGATTCCAACTCGACAGTAAGACACCTACGTGCATTGTGATAATTGACCTGTCCATTGAGTATGCCTTTGAGGATTGGCAGCTCGTCGTCCATGGCTATGGACGACATAAGCTGTTTGTCGAATTTCGGCGAAATTTTGAATGAATTTTCGCACACGCACACACAAGAACTATCGACACCTGTGCTTCCTTTCACTGTTTTTCTTTCTTTTTTATCACGTTGTCGTATGTGGCTTATAATTTGACAATCACACAACACACACATTGATGTGGAATAAATAAACTTTATTCGAATCACAGACTTGTCACTATATGTCGTACTGGTATCGATGCAATTTTTTTGTTATATTGAAATAACAAAGCTACGAAACGACACGAAGCAATGGCACGCACAAGACGATCGTCGATCGAAATATACAATAAAAAAAAAATATTCTTGTATACCTATACTTGACGATCGATCGAGGAACTTTGAATTTGCAATTTGATTAGACTGTCGGTTCTTTTATTTTTGTTATAATCACACTGTACGCGATTGAGCTTATGTGCTTTAATGTTGCACACGTAAGTATACGAGTGCTATATATAACGCTTTATACAATGCACGGTGCGTGCTCGCGCAAGACAGCGTGAGCGGCGACTGAGGAACTCTCGCGATACATGAGGCACCGAAGCCGAAGGCATGCCGCCACCGCTACCGTCGTTGTATATAGAGAGTAAAAGAGAGAGAGAGAGAGAGAGAGTCTCGTCCGTGACGCGGGTCGTGCAGCAGCAGCAGCAGCAGCGGCGGTGGCGGTGGCGGCATGAGGCGCGTTCAACAGCCGCGAACGCGCGGCATCATCCCCACCATCGCCGCCACACCAACTTTACTTCTCTCTGTCACCGTCTACAGAGAGTGAACAGCTTGTGTGTGTGTGTGTGTGTGTGTGTGTGTGTGTGTGTGTGTGTGTGTGTGTGTGTATGTGTGTGTATGTGTGTACGTAACGAGGTTCGCGCGAGCCGTTTGCCATTCTACGGTCCCCTCCACGCGCGAATCGACTCCAACTTACACACAGGCCGCTGCTATGAGTGGAGTGGTGTACATTCAGCCGGGCACGCGCGTCGTTCTCCACTCGTCTCTGTGTCTATATGTGTGTTGTGTGTGCTCGTGTGTTTGTGTATGAGAGCGGCCTTTGCTACTGCTGCTACTCGCGTATATACACACTACACACACAGAGCGAGCAGTCGAGCCTTTGGGATGGCCTTGAACTTGCTTGCAACGATAGCCGCGAGCGCTATAGACGCCGCAAGTATAAACACGCGCGCTCGCATATATATCCCTGCATGTTTGTGCATGTGCACGTACGTACGTACGTAGATGCATGCACTCCTCCGCACCACCTCGCCGCTGCTCTCTCGTATTTACCCGTGTGTAGGCGGTGTATCGTGTGTAAAAATATGCTCGTGGTACATCGGGTGGGCAAAAAGGGAAAAAGAGGTGAGAGACGTAGCTTGACCCGTGCACGCCCACGATTGTTCGCTAAAGGTGACTGCGGGTGGTGCGCATTCAACACCCCCATGACGATGACGATGACGACGACGACGACTACGCGTTGTTCGTTCAAGGCAGTCTATATATAATTCACGGATTTCCACCGATGATGCAAACTCTGCGAGCCACGAGCAAAGAGAGAGAAAGAGAGCTTTTTCATTTATTATTATCGCTTAGCTGCGAACAGTGTGTTTTGTCAAAATGTATACGTTATTGGCTCATTACGTTCGTCGTATTGCCATTGTTTATGGAGCTTTTGTTTTTCCAACCGGCCGAGTCATTGGAATGGTAAATATCGGATTTTCGGTCAAGGAAAATGCGCGCATTCACACGAAATAATCGGTTAAGCTCTCGCTAAAAGAGAAAAAAAAACAGCAGAAACCCATTTTAATGAAACGATTGCTTTATTATAGAAACTTCGTCATTGGTAAATAGATGATGATATAGAAGCGCAAGCGAGCGCGTCGTCGCGTACTTGTAGCATCTATTCATTCATAACGGCGTTGGCCTGTGCACGCGCCAACAAACTTATACATACGTACTACACACATGTAATATAATCATCGTCGCGGAGAGAAGCTCTCGGCTCGGCGTCCGAAGGCCGAATGAGCCGCCGTTGCGAATTCGACCCTCGCGTATCCCCACCCGTTGGGCGCGCGCGAAAATTGCTCGCGCCAAGGTACAGCAGAGAGAGGGCTACGAGATGGTGGGAGGTCGGTAAGGACGGCAGAGCACGAGACGGTATCGCGCAAAGTAGTTCGCGCTTCGGTAGCTGGGATGGCGCCACTGCCCGATTTTCAAAGCGAGGCGCTGCGTGCGCGATATCAACTAATCTCTATCCCCGACGAGCTTGCAGAGGGGAAAACCACTTGCAAGCTCGCTTCGTTCGCAAGGGCCAACGACCGACAGTTGACTCCGTGTCCTATTGCGAATTATCGATTGTCCCCCGCGGATTTAGATTTATTTTTTGCTGTTTATTTTTAATTCTCAACAATAACGATCGCACGACTCGCGCAGAGCTTTTCACGCTTGTTGCAACGAATGCAGCATCGCATGCTCAAGGAAAAAAGAAATTCGTACTTTCTCGCGCGCGAACTCTTGCCCACTTTCGCCCATAAAGCGCGGCGAGCCGATACCTCATTCGCCTTATATATATAAATTGCTTATTGCAACACTCACGCGTGTGTATAACGTCCGTTGGACGCGTCGAGTCATCTCTCTCTCTCTCTCTCTCTCTCGCTTGGAAGAGAAAGACCCGAGAGTAGAGCGCGTCCACATATAATACGTATCGCGGCCTGCAAGTTGCGCAGCGGCTGCAGCGGCAACACTCGGACGATGACCCGGCGACCGAAATTTTCGAAAACGCACTTCTTTTTTCGTCCACCCCGCTTTCTACTTGTGCTCGCGCCAGTTACGAAACACACACGTAGCCTCTGACGACAGAGGCAGGGAAAAAGAAAATAAACAACGAGTGCCCGAGGAAAGACCTCGAACGAAACGATTGTTTTTTTTTCGGGAGAGTACTCGGGTACATTTTACATTTGAGCTCGAGTAAGGGCATACGTAAGCTTTGCAAAAAGAAAGTTTTACTTGTGTGAGAATACGTTCTTTATCCACTCAACTTGGTTTCATTTTTTTTTTTTTTGGTATTCGATCGTAACGAAGGACGACTCTTTTTTAAAGTAATTTTTGTCAAGTGACACATATTTTTTTCTAATGAAAAGTCGTTCTTCGCTTCAACATTTAAGCATAAGAAATTTAGTAAAGAGAAGAGAAAAAATTTTGATGTACTCACCATCTCGACTCATGCCGACGGCTATGCACTTTTTCAGTCTGCAGTACTGGCAACGGTTCCGATTGATTCTCAGTATGCTGCACTGCTGATTTTTCGTGCAGGGCCGATATTGTATTTTTTGCTGGATGCTGCGTCTGAAGAAGCCCTGGAAGTAAGAAGAGTCGGAAAAACCGCCCTCGTCAGTCGGATTGCCATTGTCACTGTCGGAGGACGAGCCAGAACTATTGCCAGCCGAGCAGCTACCCCGATGATAGCCGCCACAACTATTGTTAGAGTGATTTTTGCCTACGCTGTTCTCGCAGCGAGCGAGTTCTTCGGATTCGCACGAGCACCCCATGGAGTCGAGGAATATTTTTCAAAGGATGTCTTTATGTCAAACTACAATCGCACTCGTCAATTTTTGCGTACTGACTAACACTCGCACGAGACAAAACTTAACTATCACAATTAGCACACAGGTTGTGATTTTCGTTTACAAAGTGTTACGTTTATCTTATCGAATTTCGTCGGAGAGCAAAGAAGCAAAAAAAAAATTGCCAACTCCGTCGATCAACTTTTGTCCGTGGACGTGGACGTGCGTTCCGCGCAGAAACAGAAGCGTATCTCGCGAGGTTCGAACGTTGACTGGCGCTTTGCTGAAAACGGCATACACGGCCAGCAGTAGCTGTACACGGTATATAGCGGCAGCCTCGCGCGCACACACACACACATACAGACGCGCGCGAGGCGATAGAGAGAGGCAGTGGGGGCCACCTGACCCAATTCTCGGACGTTCAACTGCAGTTCACCGCGTGAAAGTGAGAGTCCCTGGGTGTATATTGCTGCTGCTGCTGCTCGCGCATATCGTATCTATATCTATCTCGCACGTATACTACACACGCACACATTTGCAATGCAGTTGCCTCGCTCTCCTTTTTCGCCCTCTCTTAACTCCGTTTATGTGTGTGCATATACACGTATATAGCATAAGCGAGCTACCTCGGGACGCGCGCACAAGAGAGGCAGAGAGAGAGAGAGAGAGCTTAAGCTGGCTGCCGTGCCCTCGCCCCCACTTTTTCATCGCGATCTCTCTATATATGTATATTATTCACGTACATGCATACATACGTATACGTGTGTGCATGCTAGCGCTCTCGGCACTTGGCAATAGCTTGGAGAGCTTTCGCGCTCTATTATGGAAAAAAGCTCGAGGCAAAGCGGTGGTGGGGGATAGGGGCCGAGCGAGAGAGGTAAGCGCGTGTGCGCGAGGTGACTCGAGCTTTTTCGAGGGTTTATCCCTTGAGAGGCCAATGACTTCTCGTTCTCTCTCTCTCTCTCTTTCTCTTTCTGTCCTGCTGATACGAGTTTATACGTATATAGACGCGAGCGCGTGCAGGGAGACCTACTTTATGCGCATGGAAAATTTTTAAAGAACCATTGCTATTAGCCCAAAGCTTGTAGCGGGTACGGATTGCTCGAAGCTTTTTTTGCCTTTTTGTATCGGTGCTTTTTTTCAACTAGTTATTATTTCTTATCTTCAACAACAGAGAGATACTTTTTTTTTACTTATGCTCGAAGAGAATTTCTGTTGAGGATCCGATCAATTTCTACCAACTAGATTGAGCGAATAACGCTAAAACGTATAATTATAAACGAAACTTGGATTTGCCCGGCGAATTACGGTACACCCGCAATGAGTACATTATATAGCGATGGACAAGAGAAGCGGCGAGCTGTCGAGGAGACTCGGGAAGAAAAAATCGTTCCAAGGCGTTGCTCCTTCTCTTTCTCTCTCTTTCTTGCAATTGCTACATATTTGCTGGCGAGACCGACCTCGCGCGCGCGCGGCTCTCGTTTATCATGAACATCGTACGAATACCTTCGTACTTGCCTCGTATTATACCGTTCGATCGCGTATACATGCTATACCTATACTTTTATACGCGTGTATATACATTTGTGTATATACATTTTCAACAGTGAATATAATTTTCGAGAAGAAAAAGCAATCATCCTCGTGCAAAACGAAGATGCCGAAGTTATCGAAACTTTGTCATAGATATATTCTAGTCGTTTGTTCGAGTAATTAAGCCTTTAGCATTGCGCGCGGGCAAACGAAAATAGGTATATACGAGAAGCTTCGAGACGCGTGTCTCGGCAATTTAGGGAACGGATGTTGGAGTAGAGCGTGTGGAGCAGTAGTGGTAGTAGGTACTAATGGCACAGTAGTATACGTATGTGCCTCGAACTTTTATTTAGGAACTTGAGCCGAGAGCGCGCGCGCGCAAGCCCACAAAGTTCAACGACCTCTGAGCGTCATTCGAGAGCACAAGATAGAGAGAGAGAGAGAGAGAGAGAGAGAGAGAGAGAGAGAGAGAGAGAAATCGTTGCAAGCGCGAGGGGTCGTCGTGGCCCACGCGAATGAATCGGAGCTTGCAGAGGCTGCCACGCTCACGGGGTAGTCGTTTACACACGCAGCTAGTAGTAACAGTAGTAGTAGTAGTAGTCGTAGTAGTCGTAGTAGCAGTAACTAGGTGAGGCCAGCAACCCCGGGATTGCTCTGCTTTCGGGCCGTCGCTGCTGCTGCTGCTGCTGCTGCGTGCGCATCAAACGTATAGAAGCAGCTACAGCACAGCGAAGTGTACTCGCGCGCATTATATGCACACACTCGCACACACATAGAAGCGAGAAAGAAAGAGCAAGAACCCCCTGCGAGCCGAGAGAATCGCGAAACAGGTCACAGGGGGTCGATGACATTTAGTCTGTGGACGTGCACCTATGCACATAGCAGCGCACGTATCACATTTTCTCGCGCCCAGTTCTCGATCGCCGCTACTGCGTCAACTATACATCGATTTACCTTTTTGCCGCGTCGCTGTGTTTTGTCGTTGCGTTGTTTTTGTTTTTCAAATCGATACACACGAACGCGATGCCTATTCATAGAATATACATCGCGTAAAATAGCTACTATACTAATGCGTACGATTAGACGATGATGGATTCTAAGCGTCGCGTTCACGGGCCGCTACATAAGGCATATATACGGTTTTATTTTTAACAATCGAAGGGAACTGTGAATATCAAATCAAGTTCTTTCTCTCTCTTTCTCTCGCTCTTTCTTCGTGTGTATTCCAGCGATCGATCTTTCGAGACGGGGTTAACGGCCTCAGCTCGAGCGGTGGCGGCGGCCGGAGAATCAGGTCAGTAAATAGTGCAGCAGCAGCCGCAACAGCAATTGGCATTCGATAGCGGCTCGATCTGCACTGGCTCGAATACGTGCATCCGAATGATAAGGCAGCACATAATGTTACAAAAAGTCCGGAGCGCGAACCCAAGCGCGCACGCGTCTATACACGAGCTGCGTTGGAATAAGAAACAAAAAGAAAAAGAGTCGCGCGAGTTAGTACATCGCGATGGGATGCGAATCACAGTTGCATATACCTACACACACATGCCTCGGCAGCCCTCTCCCCCTTTCGCATTCGTGCTTCTTTATCTTGCATATACATACGAACCATGCGAAAGAGAGAGAGAGACATAGATATGCTTTGCTCGGCGCGGAGTGCATAGCTCGTGCGGGCGCGCGCTCGCCCGATGGGGGCGTTCGTACAAGAGAGGAGAGCGAGAAAGAGAAGAGGTGAACGACCGGAGCGCGTGTGCAGCAAACGCATCGTGGCAGCAGAGGCGAATAAAGAGGAGAAAGAGGAAAGAACGATATCGCGCGCGCGAAAAGAGTACGTATGTATGTGAGAGAGGCCGCCGCGACGCGCGCGAGAGCTTCGGCTGCTATATACGACGAGAGCGGAGAAGGTGAATGCTGCTGCTGCTGCTGCTACAGCATGCATGCAGTTGTGGCAGTTGCAGCAGCAGCAGCGATCGGCTTAAGAGCCTGTATGCACGGAGGGGAAAAACGCGAGTAACGGTGACGTATGTATATATAGTTGTAATAGTGCTAGTAATAGTAGTCGCTCTCGGCGGTAGCAGAGGAGCTCCTCCGATCGGTACGTAGTAGTAGTAGTAGTAGTAGTAGTAGTGGTAGTAGTATAAGTGTAGTAGTCGTAGCTGCACTGCGCTGCACTGCACACTGGAGCTACGTTTCTGGTCGCGCGCAGGCGCAAATATCGTGTGCAGCGCGCGAAGGTATACGTATGTATGTATGTATGCGAGAGGGCATTAACCGCTGAGGAAAAGAGCTAACGACCCTCCAGTACTCGAAGCGCGCGCCTGTATAGCTATATACAGTACGTACATAGCTTTCGAGCTTGTCTTTTTTTTTCAATTCATGAGTGTACGCGCGCGCATGTGTGTGTGTGCGCGGGTAAGTAAGTATAATTCGCATTGACACATGCACGCTTCGTTTCAACAGGCGCTCCGCATTAAGCTCGGTGTTAACGACACTCTGACCTGTTTATATACGCGTATCGTATGTGTGTGCGAGTTAATAATGGTGAGTTAACGCGAAAACTGCGCACAGTATCAGAGAGATGTCTTATCAGCGATCAGCCAACTGTTCCCTTTGTTGGATATATAACATACATGTATGTTTGTATTATGATCTGCGCAAAGGAGAGCATCAACGGCACAGAGATCGAGACGCGCTTATGTGTATACGCGGCGTGCGTTATCGATACGACGCGTACATGTAATAATCCGCCAATAGCAGCAAAATGTATACGTGTATATATAGGCACACATGTACACACAGATACGCAGAATAAGAGCGTCGCAAGCACGAGAAGTGCAGCAACAGCAGCAGCGGCAGCGCGACTGACCCGAATCTCGAAGTAGATTCGCGCTGCAGGTCAGTAACCTCGCCGCTGTGTGCCGTATGCACAAACACATTCGCACACACGAGTTGCAGCGCTCCTCCTCGCTTCTCTCTCTCTCTCTCTCTCTCTCTCTCTCTCTCTCTCTCTCTCTCTATGTATGTAAGTGTATCTGTGTGTTCTGCAAAGCCCGAAATATACGCTGAAACTGCGTCGTCGTCGTAGTCGTCATCTCTGAATGTGTTATATACAATTGAATGAAAATGAGATCACGACTCATCTTGTCTGGGCGACGATATCTATTACGACATCGGCACGCATGACGACGACGACGACGACGACGACGACAACGACAACGACGAGGATCGCTTAACTAATATTCATATGAGAATCAAATGTAGCTCGATTAGACTCACGAAGGACTCGGGATCATTGAACTTTGAGAAATAATAGAAGTAGCAACAGCGGCCAACCCTCCAAGGCTCGAGCTTGTTTGGGGCCGATCTTTCCCCGATGCTTCGCACAAGCCCCCGGGTTTTCGAGCGCGAGCGCGCAAATTTAACCAAATATGGGTCGAGCCCGGGCATTTGCCTTTCCCTGCATGCCGTTATACTTTGTGTGCCCTGCGTCCGTGCGCATCGAGATTTTAATAAAAAACTAAAAAGAAGAAAAATGAAGCAAGAATAGTATTCGGCAAAGCATTCCAACAAGCAATCACTAGTCTCCTAGCTTCCTCTCGACAAAAAAGGCTCCAGATTAATAGTAATAAAAATAATACTGAGCTTCCTTCGCATCTTTCATATGAGCCAGCGCACCCTCCGCGATCGGTAAACGTTGAATAAAATATCGAGTGAGTTCATGAAAAAAATTACAAAAATTTCTGTGTGACTAGAGAAAAGGATGCGAATCCGAGCGCGGCGTGCTGCTGCTGCTGCTACTGCTACTTCTATATACTGCTATGCCGCTCGGGCGCACGAGCTTGTCAGGGGGTGAAGAAACGGAAACTCGGTCAATCCAGGTGAAATCGATAAAGGCCACTGCCCCTCAGATCCTTTTACTCGTGCGTATACATGTTTATGTGTGTGTGTAAACTACGTACGCTAGCCGCTAGGAAATTTATTACATTTCCAAACTCGGGGTGCGTAGAGTACGCACAGCTGCTAATTACCCTATTCACGCGCGTATCTGTATACGCGAGTGTAAATGAATATTTGAATTAAAAAACAAGGCTACAAGTAAGTTTTTTTTAATCGTTCTATTTGCACACGAATGAGGAGGATTGTTTTATCAGATGGATATTTTTGGCAGCATGTACGACGATTTTTTGCCGAACCTGTTGCAGCTGCTCAGTAGTTCAGCTGACATGTCAAAGCGTATTTTTATTCATTCATCGTCCGTAAAACAGAGAGAAAGAGAAAAAAAGAAGAAAACGTACGTCGTACGATTTTCAAGAGTCGAATCATTCACTCGTTTAGTTTTGTCTTCGAGTATATGCAGGCACAGGCATATGAATTCGCGGGGCTGGGTCATTGAACTCCGAGCTGTACATGTTCTAGAATGAAAGATGTAAGTACGTCGAAGTGCGTCAGGTACAAAAAATTTTGAATTAACGTAAGTTAAAATAGATGGAATGAACACAAGTTAAATTTTAATATGTTTTAACAATTAATAACTGTAGCAAAAACCGATTCAAAAATTGAATTAAAATTGTTGGACAAGTCAACTCGAGACTTGCGCATTGCACGGGAACGGGAGATAAGTAGCTAGCGCCATCTGACGCGAAAGCTGCGCAACTACTCTGCTACGAGAGAGTACGAAAAGGGAGAGAGAGAGAGAAAGAGAGAGGGAGAGTAGGAGGACACAAGGGGGAATTCGCACACATACACACATACTTTCGCGCAAAAAGTCCCCACTGCTCTGCCTTCCAGCAGCGGATCAGGGCCGCCCGCGCGCGCGGACGTTGACTCGGTGCCTGGCTGCGGCCTTCGATGCCTTGTCTCTCTCTCTATCTCTCTCTCTCTCTCTCTCTCTCTCCCCTTTTATATGCACGGGCTGCACTTATATATACTTACTCGTGCACGTACACACTCACACATATATGCAGCAGAGACGTTTATTGCTCGTGGTATACGCTATACTATATACTATACTACACCCGAGCTGCGCGCGAAGAATGAGGCAGAGAACGCGCAAAGAAATTTTGTCGGTCGAAGCGCGCTGCGTCGAGGCACTTTTTTATTTTAATGTTTTTTACGTAATTCTCGAAAGTTAAGCTGCGGGAGAGTGTATAATTGTCGTTACACACGTTCGTGTACACACTCACAGGACACCGCGCGATGCATTTATGTGTGTACATTATACGATGTAGAGCATCGGCGCGCGCGCGGTGCAGTGAAAGTTTTTAAGCTCGCCGCAATGATTAATCGAACGATGAATTATACGGCTGTTATTAAAAAAAAAAAAAAAAATTGGCAATGCCTCGGTTATCGTATATATAAACTCTTAATAGACATCACCGCGCGTACCCAAATCGCGAGAGAAAGTTGCTGTGTGCACTTTTGCTCGTGGCTATGTGCAGCAGCGCTTATATGTGTGCAGTATGCGCGCAAAAACAATCTCTCTCTTTCGCTGTCTTTCTCGTGCCGCGGTATGTGTATAAGGTCAACGAACTCGCGACTCGCTAAGCTAAGGACAATGCCAATAAAGGAGAGCGTGCGAGCGCGTGCATTTTTTTTTATTCTCTTCATTTTACAAAACGAGCGCAAAATGTATCGAGTATCGCGCGCTCGAGTTAAGCCGCGGCGATCGTTTTCTGCTTTTTTTGCTCTTTTGCTCGTTTTTTTTTTCATTTTTTGTTTTCTGCCACCAGTGAAAATTTTTTTTTGCTTCGCGCTTGCTTTTACATTTTCGCTCGAAAAAAAAACTAAGCGCCCATTGTTCGAATTATGTGTACCAAAGGACTCTATTTTCGAAGCGTTTCGCGGAATCCACCGTAGGTGGATATAATATATAATGGCGCTCGTGGTGTTATATGTGGGTACATACGAAGGAGAACAGGGGGAGAGAGAGAGAAAAAGCAGAAGGACACTCGGACTCGACTGCGGCTTGAATATTACGGAAAAGTTGGCCATAAAACTTCGATAACTGCCTCGTGTATTTATAATAATACATACGAGAGTCCTCTCTGCGATCCTCCCTCGCAGTGTGTGTCGAGGAAACGACGAGGCATTCAGGAAATTCGGAGCAAGCATTTTTTTGAATCGAGTCGCCATGCGGCCAAGGTCCACCGCTTAGGTGTACAATATATAATAATGACATCCGAAATACGAGAGAGATTTTGTGCCTAAATACATACGATCGCGACATCATCGTTCGAGACACCGCGTTTATGCGCTGCTTTCTTTGTGCTGCATCTCTTACAACGAAAAGAAAATATAATTTTCTCGGTATCGTAAAAGAAAGAGCGAAAAAAAAATTAAAATAATAACTCGCTGAAAATCATTCATGGAATTTAGCGTTGTTCGTGTAGCAACAAAAAAAAACCAAAAAGTAAAATAAAAACGAATGAAAGATCCTTGACAGCTGCATTATTATGTATTCCGCCGCAGCACCGAGTTTTAAATTCGAAATCGAGCGAGAAAAGCCTTGACGCAAAAGTTGATTTCCGTCTTGTATGCATAGGGGTCGATATACCTCGTCGTCCGGCAGTGCAACTGCGCGCGCGAGTCTGACCTTCAACTCTTGCTTGCACGCGCATACCGTGTTGCTACTGCTGCTGCTGCTGCACTGTCTGTGTATGTCTGTTCGTGTCCAGTCACTTCCTGGCCTCGTCGCGCGCTCGCGAGAACGTTTGATATCTCCGCGTTGTCAGCGGCTAAATATGAGCTGCGCAATAATACTCCACATACTGTATGTCTTTTGTTTCAACGCGATTCTCGTCGCCTTTATTATTATGATATAAAAATTTTTTTCTTTCATCTTCTTCGTCTTATCGTCGTAATGAGCGAAATATTAAACCGAATATAATATATATTATGAACTGTCTGTGTGGCAATTGTTCTTGGCTCGTCTTCGTATTATTATTTAATTTAATCGGAAAAATATTTTTTTTTTATTGAAGCGTTTTCGCTTACCTTGCATCCTTCGCAGGAGTGAACGCCGTAATGAAAACCAGAGGCCTTGTCTCCACAAACTCGACATAGCACCGTCGTACCGTCGAATTCTGTACAGAAAAGTAATTCGTGCTAATTGCCTTTATCGAATAATTATGAAACATATAAATTTTTTTCCATTCATTATTTTTATTGATCTCTTACAACATATAAACAGGTAAATGAAATTAATCTGCGGGGGAATGAATAACTCTCTCAAATTCAGCAAAAAATTTCGTTAGATTCTAAATGGTATAATATGAAGTAGGAGGAGTTTCAGTTGGCTCTTGTAAAATGTTATATTGTAGCTACATGTATCTGCGAATGCGCGCGAATATTCCCACGTGCCCCCGGCTGCTGCTCGGGGATACGTATACATTCGCAGCGCAGAAAACTCGCTGCAGATGTATAGCTGCGCGGAGAGTCAGGCGAGTGCACATATATATATATGCGCTATAGACATTGGAGCCAAGAAAGTAAAGCGTACTTTCTCCGGAGTGCAGCGGCCGCGTGTTACAGCATCACACACACACACAGGCGCGCGAATCGCAACTTTCTGCTTTCACTCTGCGTTCACTGCAGCTCGCGCTGCACTGCACTCGTGCTGCATGTGCAACATACACACACACAGACATACAGAGAGATAGCGTAAATATGCTCGCAAATTTCAGACAGATAAATCTCGAGAAACTTTCTAAGACTTGCGGCTGTTGCCGCTGATGCTGCTACGGCTACATAACAATCGTTTGATTTTTCGCGTTAACTCTCGCGCGCGTGCGGGCATTCGTATAATAATGTAGATACATATATACTTTCTCGTTTCACCCAAAGGTCATGAACTTGATGAAGATAAGATATAGGCTGGTGTGTAAATGTATGTAAATAATATAATTATATCAAATAAAACAGAATCAATGCTACTGTGGCGAAACGGTGTACATATGTGTACATATCAAAATCGGCTGTAAACCGAAAATTTGAATTGATGAAAACATCAGCAACGGGAGCTTATCACCTTCTGTCGAGCGAGATGGGCGACGTCGCGCACACATATCGCGCGTTAATCGGCCCGATTCACGTACACATTACAATAAACACGTGTCGGAGAGTGTGAGAAATAGAGAGAGAGAGAGAGAGAAAAAAGAGAGCGCGAGTGAAGAAGAAGGGAGCTGAAAAAAATCACACTCGCACACCGCACGTTTTATCAGACACGCTCGTTTGTAACGACAGGTCATTGAACTCTCGTCGTATTTCAGTAATCGCGAGTACGCCATACATAGACGAAAAGCAATTTACATCCGATAGGGAACATAGAGATATAAATAAGTTTTACCGATATTCAAGTCGGGCTCGGGTCTCGCCGACGAGACCGTCGAGTCCATGGTCGGTCCCGTCGAGGGCGGCGACGAGGGTGGACTCAACATCGTCGTGAAATTCACTTGGATGTCCTTCAGCGAGGGTGGCCCGTTCGTGGCGATGCAATCGCTGCTAGCCGACAGCACGCTGTGCATCGAGCCGTAATGATTCGCCGATGGAGGAAAGTGATGCGGCTGTTGCTGCTGCTGTTGCTGCTGCTGCTTCTGTTGAGGACACTGTCGCGAATTGATAATCGTGAGAGTCGACGGTGCACCGCACTCCTCGCCGGAGTAGCTGCTGTGCGTGGGCGAATTGTACCAGTGATTGACGATCGACGCCTGAGCGTCCGTAACTTTCAGATCGTACTGCATGTCGCCAATGATCATCGTGCTTGCGGGTCTGTCTTTTACTTCCACGACCCAAGTAAAAGTTAAAGGAGTAGCAGTCACTGCTTTTTACACATTCACAATTAAATAGGAGCACTGTATCGCCGTACACTGTTTTGACACCATTTGATTTTGTAAAGCTTTTTTTTTTGTAAAAAAAGAACACTGCATGCACGCAAACTTTTTGCGTACGCCAAGTACTCCGTTGTCTTTTCTGATTCAACAGAAAAACAAAGAACTTGAAATTTAAAAAATTCACAATGTCACAGTACACAGGTGCACTTCACTGCTTTTTATTTTAATTTTTTTTTTTTTTGTTAATCAACAAAAAAAATTTAAACAATTTGTTTTGTTCAACAATCGTTAAAAAAAAAAAGAAAACTGTTTTAAAATAAAACGTCTAACGAGGCAACGTCGTGATACCGAACATACGTTGAACTTGACTCGGGCGTCATCGAGACATGACGATGCTCTCGCGACGAAGGACTGCGAACGAATGAGGATTGCTGGGGTGCAAGCGAGCCGATGTAAGTGAGTATATTACATATAGCTCGGCTCACGGCGCGCACACAAATATACACGCTGCTCACTGACAGGACGGAAGGTGTCTCTGTCTCTCTCGGTCTCTCTCTCTCCTGGGCTTTCGGAGTCGCTTATACACACACATGCACAGAGTAGTGAGCGAGCGAGCGAGTCAAGCGCCGCATGCGAAGACGACGAGAGTGAAAGTGTATACTGACTGTGTGGAGCGGCAGCAAGCTCCGCGCCAGCAGCGTGAGTCGAGAGTAGTGTATAGTATTAAAGTAAAACAGGCGGAGTAGTAGTGGTAGGCTCGCCTCACACGGGCGAAGGCTCGAGTCTCTCCGAGGCCCGAGCTATATACCTGAAAGCGTACGTCGTGTACAAAAGCCGCACACGCACACATATTCATACAAAACGCGCATCCCTTGCATGTAGGCCTCTCTCTCTCGCGCGCGCAAGACAAACCGGCATGGTGGGGGGACAGAAGCGGCTGGCTGTCTCTCTCTCTCTCTCTCTCAAACTTTTCAATGCCGGAGGTCACTGCCTCGCCGCCGCCGCCACCGCCGCAACACTACTGACGACTACTATATACTGTATATACATAGCAGCAGCTTGCGCTGAGCTCACACATACACAAGCTGCACTTGGAATTTTGTATATAGATATATCACACCACGCTGGGCTGCGCGACTGTGGCCAATAGGCACGGACGACGGCCCGAGCTCATTGGTCCCCCACTCGGGCTCCGAGATGTAACGCTTAGTTTCGCTTGTGTTTTGTGCGCGAGTGTGTGTGTGTGTATATAAAAGTACTTCCTCGCTCACTTTAATGTCTAAGTTTGTATGAGACCGAGAGAACAGGAACACACACACACATAGACACATGTATTGAGAGAGAGGCAGAGAGCCATGCAGTTTACCACCGCTTTTTTGCAATAAGTTCATCGGCCGAAAACCTTGACTGAATTACCCCGCTACAGCGGCCAAGGCCATTCCCGACGCACTCACACGTACCAACAACTCATTTTGTAGTTTCGTCGTTGTCACGAACCGTGTGCCGCAGCAGCAGCAGCAGCAGCTTGTTTGCAAGTTTCCTCGTTCCGTTTGCATATGTATGCATATTTAATGGGCGACAACGATAAGAGCCGCGACCGAGCATCGATAATAGTCGTCGTTGTTTTTCGGCTAAAGTTCGGAGTTGGGCCACACATAAATCGCCTTCCCTTTTTCCGAAAAAAGCTCGATCCTAATTTATCAACCCCTTCGTGACTCACCCGCGAAAACATATGTTTCACGCGCAGCATATAGCGCATAGTGCGCGCACACGATTCAACCTTGATCGTTGTGACTGCATGCGTTGCGAGCTCTCCACGCTGCGATGTTCTTAGAACTCGATGCCGATAGTCCTTGCAGCGCAGCCCTCTCCTTTCTGCGCCGCTCGCTGTATATATATAGCGTGACTGCTGCTGCTGCTGCTGCTGCCGCTGCTGTCGGCAGGTTCGACGAACTTTTGAGTTCATACACTCTCGAGGCTCGTGAGCGCGCGCGGGCATATAGGTTGTTGTGCGCCAGCAACCGCCACAACTGGCAAAAAAAGTAAAAAATAAAAGGTAATAAAATAAAAACGAAGAAGAAGAAGCAGAAGAAGGCAAAGCTCACGGTCTCTGCAGCAGTAGGGTACCAGCGAGCGTCGTGCGCGCTCGTTCGCTGCAGCATATATAGCATCCATGGCCTTTTATTATCATTATTATGTATTATTCAGAGCATGCACTATATATCGAAGTGAGCGAGCCTTTTTTTTTGGTTCTGCACTCTCTCGTAAAGGTACAGAGACACGGGCGGATAAAAAAGAAAAAGGAATAAAAAAAGTGAGAGAACAGAGCAGAAAAACGACACGAGGGAAAGGGATATACATTTATGCGAAAATTTACGCATTTGCAAGAACATCTTGTGTGCTTGCTTGTTCCTTTCTGCCAACGCGCACGCAGCTTCCAAGGCGCGTTATGTTGACTTTAATACATTTTCTGCTTGCGATCGACGTTGTTGCTGCACAACTGCACGCGTATATTTTTAGACTGCATCTCAAGGGTTTCGACTCAAGTACGCGTATCGACGACATGTACGAGAGCGTACTCGAGAGCGACGAATTTTCATTTCAATGATTCGATATCACGATGACCATCGTTGTTCTCAAAATTTATAATTAACATTTTTCACGGTCGAAAATCCAATCATTTCTTCGCTCCATCGTGCACAAACTGCAAAGCGTGCAATAGTCTCTGTACGTGGGCGTGTAAAGATCCGAGATGTAAGAGTTGCAGCTGTTTCTTACTATTGAGACAGATCGTTTGATTTAGAATTTTTTCCGTTTTCGATATCAAATAAAACTGCAGCTTGGTTATATACAGAGCGACGTGTGGCCCCTGTAATGTCCATTCCTTGAGCAGCTCCTCTCTGCATCGACCATGTCAGCGAGCGGGGCACTGGCTCGCCGCACGAGCTTGTACCACATAATATATATTTTCGAGCGAAGGAGCGGATACCAGTCCTTGAATCTGGCCAGTGAACCAGACCAGCCAAGAGTGAGAGAGAAAGAGAGACCCATGAAGGATACACGAAGACGACGACGACGACGACGACGGGGCCAGAGCAGACGTCCTTCTATTATTTTTCTCACTCTGTTCCTTAATACGATACAGCATGTATGCGTTTATATACTCGGATCGCAGACACACAATATTCTCGCGCTCGTATATGAGGGCGAAACCCTCTAGGCTAGACAGACACTTGCTTACCACACATGCGAAT